GGCAGAGGGTTGGTGAGAACAATCTCTCCTTGAGAGAAGAAGAAACCTGGGGCGGAAGGAGTTTTACCCGGAAGTGGCTTGCCAGCCCACCCTCTCTGAACCACAGCAGTGGCTTCCTTCCAAGGCCACCACTGCCTTCCAACCACCCAGAACCAGTTCTGACTGTGGGATCTGGGGACAGAATCTTTTGAGTGGTTTGTGGCTAAAAGCTAGGATACATCTAACATCTGTCGACCAACTCTGGTTCCCGAGTTATCTCTAGCTGTCTGTTCTCTGTAAACTTCCTGAGTTTGGAAATTCTTTCCCAACAGCTTTACGCTGGCATCTGAAAGGTTGTGGAAATTGTATCCACGAAAAGTTCTAAGAGCTCTCGTATCTCTAAATTCTAAGGAGGAAGAACAATATACATACAGCCCAATTCCCATGAGAGGGGCCAGCTATTCTATTCTTTAAGGGGTGGGTGAGTTTATTTTTTCCTGTAGTTACAAAGCTTTTGATCTATATGGTGCCAAGTGAGGTTCCAATGACCAAGACTTTGGAGAGCAACACGGGAATGGCTTCCATTTTCTTTGGTTTAATGACGAGCCAAGACAAGCCATGAGCCCTTGTACAAAGTTCGGAGAGATAAATACAACTCCCAGCCTATTGAATACCATGCAGAAGAGCAAGTGCCTCTGTGCCCCATCACAAGCTGGTAGAGGTGGCACTCCTACCGCAGGGGTGCTGAGGGCTAGAGAGAGAATCCACACCCAGTGCTTTGAAGGGTACCTGTGCACAGTAAGCCCTCTGAAAAAATAGTGGTTCTCGTTGCCTTTTGTTGTCTTTTCTCCAACACTGACTCCCAGCTCCCAATCCAGATGGGCATGGGACTGTCAAGGAGCTGGAAACAGAGGGGGAAAGTGCACTGAACTCCGTACCCTACTCCAGCTTTCTGGGGGACCAGCCGGCTCATTCCAGCCCTGAGAATTGAGCAAATGCGTCAGCCTGTTGGAAAGGAGACTCCACTCAGCTTTTCTTGTAGTTCCCCAGCCAGGCAACATGGCGCAGAGAGGTTGAAGGGCCCACTGAAGAAAAGGAGGCCCAATGGCTCCATCCAACTACTCTGATGGGAGAAAGGAAGAGGCAAGAGGTTCACATAAAGGGGCCCTCACCCCTCACCTACGGTGCTCCTGGGTGGTGTCCTCTGAGGACAGCGGCCCTCAGGTCAGCCTCTGGGCTGGAGAGGAAGGTGTTCCAATGTCATGGCTACTGCCAGGAATACCAGGGGTTCTGGGTTAAGACTGGCAGGGCCCACTGGATGAGGAGGCCTCCCACGTCTCTCCAGCCCTGGCCCACTTGTGCCTATGCACAGAGACATCTGGAGGCCACTCACAGGAGCACCCAACAGGTCTGGAGACGAGGAATGTGGGCAAACCCATGCTTCCCGTCTGGAGGGGTACAGGCCGGGCTGCCCCTGTTGGCACCAGGCACAGCAGGCCACCATCAGCGGGTGACGCTCATGTGCCATGCTCTGGGCTCACTTCCTGTTGGCCCTGGCAAGGCTTGGTGCACGTCCTCCAGGTACTACCAATAGTTTGGAAATGCCCTGGGGACCCAGATTTGCCATGGGGAGATGACATCTCTTGTCTCTGACCGGCCTCATCTCTCCTAGATTCCCTGGGACAGAGAGTGAAAAGCTACAAAGTGCACTAGAGTTTGCAAACATCCCTCTGGACGCTTTTTGTGCAGGAACTGGAAGGGAAACGTGGCCAGCGCTGTGCTCCGATCCTGGGGGATGTCACAGTGTCTTGCAGAGCAGGGAACTAATCAGAGCCCGTCAGGATTGGTGGTGGATTTCCAAGTTCCCGCGGAGTCAGCCGAAGTTCTTTCCTGGGCAGACATGGAGACCCGAAATTCTCCATTTCACTATAAACTGGGCCAGTTGTCCGGAGAAAGCCACATGTTGCCATGAGCCTAACTTCTTGAGCGCCATGTGAATATGTTTGTAGCAGGAAGGCCAGAGAGAGCAGGCATTCGTGTGACTGTGACTCGAGGAGGAGACTAACCCGGGAGCAAACAACTCAACTCCTAACCAGACCACATGCAAGAGAAGCTCCAGGGAGCCCCCAGACCCAGTGTGACCCGTCGTTGTACCCCCCGTGTTGCCTGCTGTAAGTGAGATGCTGAAGTTTAGCTGCCAGCTGACTGTGATGCTGACGGAGAATTTTACCATATTAGAAAGACACTGGATTCCGTTACACTTGGTTTTCAATTAAAGGATCTCATCTCTGAGCTATTTCACTTCCCCTAAGTGAAGAATGAAAATTAAAAACAGATACAGGCATGTCATGCCCATAAAAGGCTCCAGGCGGAGGGGCCTCTGACGAGCCGCAGACAGCTTGCTGGCAGGGAGGGGGGTGTGGCTGCACGGACCTCTGCAGTCAGGATGCTTCTGACCTGGCCAGCCAGGGTGCCCCAGGTTTCAGGGTCTCCAGATTTAATCAGATCTCCTGTGCAGGCCGGAGTCTCCCATCCTGTCCACACCCACATATTCTCCTCCACCCCTGGCCACTGGGCCTTTGCACAGGCTGGCTGTGGGGGGACCGTCCTGGCTCACGGGGAGCAGGTCCTAGGTAAGTCCATCTCCGGAAGCCCTGGTCTCCTCTGGGAAAAGCCCATGATGGGGGGTATTGGTGATGCTCTGTGTCTGGGTCTGAATGCTGATTACACAGGTATGTTCAGTTTGTGGAAATCCACCAAGCTGTACCCACTTTTCTGCACATACGCTTCAATTAAAATTTTTAAAACAGAACTCTAGGGGTGAACACAAGGACCCCCAGGCACCAGATTTCTTTCTCTATCCTGTACCAATAAGCTGATTTTAATGTTTTTAGAATTCCAAAATCCTACATGATTTCATTCCTTAAAGGGCTAAAGTTTTCAAAGCAAAGTCTGCAGTTTGGAAAGATCCTTCTCTAAAAGGCTGAGCTTGCTGTGCTGGGGTCTTCCTTCCTTTTCCAGATAAAAATCACAAGTGAGATGCTGATGACGGCTCTGTCTCCAGGAACTGAGCGGCATGATTTTCCTTCTCTCTTTCACAGCATCTCCAAACCCAGGCTGCTTGACGGCTCGTAAGAAACCAGTTAAATGGTTTGAAGTCTTCTTTGAGGAGAGAACTCACCCTGCCTTCAGGAGCAGAAAATCAAGGGGAGAACTTTCATTTGAGGGGACATGCTGGGTCAAGCCATAGCACAAACAAGAGGAACAAAAGAAGGGAAATCAACTTACATAATACTTAGGCGAGAGGGGCTATCTCGGCGGAGAACTATTCCCACGAAGTGAGCAGGCTGTGGACTAACTGAGTCTACAGAGGCCAGGAAGGGGCCTGGGCGCAGGGAAGGCTGTTCTTGGAGGACAGGTGGGGAGGATTTGGAGGAGGAGCCCTCCTGAAGGAAGCCCAGGGGTATGAATCAGAAATCCCCAGGGCTTTTGCCATGGCCAGTTGGATCTATCTTCCTGATTGTACGAAGGTCCGGCACGACCTGCTTCTCTACGGGAGAATCAGGCCGGTCAGGAAGAGGTAGGCACACCTTTCTCTAGGGCCAGAAAGAAGAATCACGGGAAAGCTCCGTGGACCCAGGGGTGGAGGCAGAAAGATGAAGTTCTCAGGTCCTCCAGTCCCATCATTCCCCAGCCCGGCTCCAGCCTGCCTCTTTAACACTCATTGGGTGCCTTCATCTGCATCAGGACGGCTTGGCTTCTCTTCTTGCAGCAGCAACAGCCGATGCAGGCAGCCAGGGAGCAGGCCAGGGCAACGATGCCAATGACAATGGCGGCAATGGCCAGCCCGCTCTGGGCCTGGGTCATGCCCCAAACGCTGCGGTCGTCGGTGACCTGAATGGTAGTCAGATCGGTGTAGTCTTCCACGGGGCTGGTTAGCTCAGTGGTAGAAGAGATGGATGTGGTGTCAGGATAACTTGATGTGTCCGGGTACCATGACGTTTCTGGATAACTAGGCACCTCGGGGACATGGACACTCGGAACAGCAACGTTGACATTGATGATAATGAGGGACTGGCCTCGGACGTTGGCTGGGCTGAAACACACAGGTACCGTGTCCGTCCCTAATCTAGGCTGGTTGAGCAGGAGCCAGTTGTGGAGTGGAAGGATGTCTGAGTCACACCTCCAGGGATTGTCGTACAGCCGCAGCTCACACAGTTTCCCCAGGTGATCGAAGATGCCGAGGGGCAAGTTCTCCAGCTGGTTGTTCTGCAGCTGGATGGTCATGAGGCCGTTGACGTTGGCAAAGATATTCCCTGGGAGCTGTCTGAGGCGGTTGTTCTGCAGGGAGATATTCTGCAGGTTGGCCAACATGCGGAAGACGTTCCCGTCCAGGTCCTGCAATGCGTTGGTGTGGAGGGACAGCTCCCGAAGCTCCGTGAGCCCGTTGAAGGCACCCGGGGAGATGAAGCTGATCTGGTTGCGGCTAAGAATCAGGACCTGCAACTGGCGGAGGTTGCTGAAGACGTTGTCGGGTAGAGAAGTGATATGGTTGTCATAGAGCCAGAGCTCCCGCAGGTTGGGCATGGGCCCGAAGATCCCCGGAGAGAGCTCCTTCAGGGAATTCCCGAAGAGGGTGAGACGGTTGAGCTGGGGCAGCTGCATGAAGATGCTGGGCGGCAGCTGGGAGATGTGGTTGTTGGACAGGTAGAGTCTCTGGAGGTTGTGGTTGTTGTGGAAGAGACCAGGGGAGAGCAGCCCGATCTGGTTCTGCTGCAGAGCCAGTTCCTGCAGGTTGACAAGCCCATCAAAAGTGCCCACGGGGATATCCGTGAGCCTGTTCTCATAGAGCCGGAGGACCTGGAGGTTGCCCAGGTGCTGGAAGACCCTGGGTGAGATGTGGGTGAGGCTATTCTTGCCCAGATTGAGCTTCGTGAGTCCCACCAGGTGGTCGAAGGCTCCGTCGGGTATGTATTCCAGGTGGTTGCCATGCAGCTGCAGCTCCTTGAGGTTGCTGCACTGGGAGAAGTGGGCCGGCTGGATCTGCACCAGCTGGTTACTGGACAGAAGGAGTGACTCGAGGCTGTCCAGGCCCTGGAAGAGGCCGATGGGCAGAACCTGCAGCTTGTTGTTGGCGAGGCTGAGATAGCGCAGCGAGCCCAGGTTTCGGAAGGCCCCGGGCATGATGTGTGACAGTTCATTCTTCTCAATCCTCAGGGCGATGAGGGCTGAGATATTGAGGAACGGGGACTCACTGAGTTCAGTGATGTGTGTGTTGAGGATCTGCAGGCTCATGGCGTTCCAGGGCAGAGGGGTGGGTACGGCCACAATGCGTGCCCCGGTGCACTCCACCTGGGAGGCCCTGGAGCAGGTACACTCACTAGGGCAGCCATAGTAGGCCAACCCTGCACCCCAGGCTTGGCAGCCCACCAGCAAAAGGAGATAATGCTTCAGTGGCATAGCCTCTGCAGGGGGAGAGAGCACACGTTAGTCAGGGTCCCCTAACCAACACTGGCAAGTTTTAAGCCAACATCAACTTGCAGTGCCAACGCTGGCTTGGCTTTGCACCCCATCATCACATGCTGAATTCATGCTCCATCTGCTCCGGCCAGCAAGCCTCTGCACCTCTGCCTCTGCCTTTCTGCTTCCATGTCTTTGCCCAGGCAATTCTCCCTACCTGGAGTGCGCCTTGTCCTTATACAAAATTGTCCCATGCTTCCAAGTCCAGCTCCAGTGCAATCACCTTTAGGACACTTCCCAGATTCCGTGAGTCAATCAGTTACCCTTCCATGAAGTCATCTTCCCAGTCTCCATCATTGGCCATGCCACGGTGGCCTTGGATGGCATTCACTGTGTCCCTGTCTGTCT